GTTTTGCTCCGCAACCCCGAAGACCACGCTCCAAACTGCTGAGCAAAGGATTGCACATCTGGACTTGACTTGCGCACGTAGACGGAATGGAAATATTGTTGATGGACCCTGACTGAGCCCTCAACCCCAACAGTTCCCCAAACAGCGTGGTACCCACAATCGGGTTCTGACGTTGGGCAAAAAGAGAATTGGTCAAGGTAGTCGCGCGGCACCCGCAACAGGAGGTTTCCGGGACGTGGCTCCCACTGTGGCGCAGCGCATGCTGGGTACACGTTTATAGTTAACACTGGACGCGTCGGTGTCGTCCCCAAAAAGCCAGATCCTTTGTAAATTCCGGCAATGTCATCGGCCACATTATCGCCTCGAAATCCCTGAATCCCGCCAGTACTGAAAGAAAGCACTTTGACAGTATTTTTGGGGGAAGCGCTTCGGCCGTTGTATTTGTTGGAAGAATTGGTCCGCGCTCTGGAACCCTCCTGCCAGTTTGGGGCAGTATGGCCATGGTGTCCTGGTGGTCTCCTCATGCTCTCATGGGATCTCCGGGTTCTGCTGCTGGTCTCCCGGTGGTTTCCTGGTGGTCTCTGGGTGGTCTCCTGGTGGTTTCTCTGGTGGTGTTGTAATGGTCATCCTGGTCGTCGAGGTGGTCCTCGCCGTCTTGGTGCTCCTGGCGGTCGTGGTTGTCCTGGTCGTCACGGTCGTCGTGCTGTTCTACTAGTACCACTGTTTGGAGATCTATGCTGGCTCAATCTTCAGCTCTTCATCGCTTCGGCAACACAGCTCTTTGAGGCCCATGCTGACGTCCGAGCACGGGAAGGCCTGCATCTTGCGGTCAGTGGCAGCCCACTACAGGTGAATACACAGAAACCACCCATTTGCAAGTGGACATTCACCGCCTTGGTCCATGTCCGTTCTGAGTTGCAGATGCATTGCTGTGTTGCGCAGTGCAAACTTGTGTTCGGAAAAATCAACTTGCTACTACCCGTGCATACGGAGAAATGCTACTTAAGATCGTTTGTCTACCCGAGTCTACTCCTGTTAGCAAGATGCCGGCTAAACCAAGCAACTGTACAAGTTACGAGCATATGCTTTTGCATTATGTTGCATGTTGGCGGATGTATGCTGCTTTTGAGCTAGCCATTTGTTTGAATCCGTCTCCAGTGACAAACAGCACGTGAAGAATCTATGCCTTCACATGTGTGCATATGTTTACATGCATATGTTTACACACATATACATATGTATGTATGTATGTATGTATGCATGCATGCATGCATGCATGCATGCATGCATGTATGTATGTATTTA